AGCAAGAGAGAGAGAGAAAAATATGTAGAAAGCACCAGTGGATATGAAAGCGATCTAAACCTGTTTTTTTTAATGGAGTTGTAAATATTTTTCGAGGAATATTTATTCTCCTCTGTTTCAAGTCATGCATTCTGAACTGATATTTGCGTGAGTGTATGTGAGTGTGTATGTGTGTGTGCGTATGTGTTGTGTTGTGCTTATGAGCATGCGTGTACGTCTGTGTGTGTGAGTCTGTGTGTGTGTGTGTGTGTGAGAGAGAGAGAGAGAGAGAGAGAGAGAGAGAGAGAGAGAGAGAGAGAGAGAGAGAGAGAGAGAGAGTGATGGGATGATGATTCGTCTCTGATTATGATGGGAATTGAGATGTTGAAAGCTGATGATTACACTTATGATAACAATGTTATTTTATGCTGTTGATAATAATGATTAAGATGAATCGTTTTGATGATGTATGTAGCTTCTGGTAACATGATATTAATAATTACAAATAGTTTTAGGTGTATGTTTAGATATATTTGTTAAGTTAATACTAATGCACTGATGATGTTTACACACACACACTCATACACACACACACACACAACACACACACACACACACACACACACACACACACACACACACACACATATATATATATATATATATATATATATATATATATATATATATATATATATACACATATACATATACATACATACATACATACACATACACATGCATTAATATTCCCATTCTAACGTTAAACGAATCAAAATAATCAATGGAGACAAACAGTGAATTCAGACACTAGAAGTCGAAGTTCGGCGACACAGCATGCGGGGACAGACACAGACAGACAGAGATATCCAGGAATATTTGGAAAGGGAGGGAAGAAGGTAACTGATGGATTTCAGGGAATTTCGTAGAGCTCAAAGGGATGTTTATATTCAAGCGAAGGTAATACCAGTAATGCTCTTCGAAAATAGATCAAATAAGGGAAGAACATATTCTAATCACCTTGACAGAAACAGGTAACCATTCAAAATACATGATAGAAAATGGAATACTGTAGACAGACACTCTAGTAAACAGGTAGACGCAGTGAAGAGACAGATAATCATGCTACATTAAGGAGATGAAATACCAAGTCTCCAAGCAAACAAGCAGTGTCCCATACAAAACACAAACACGTAAATTTGCACGAAAATCCGGACGGTCAGAAAGTTAAAATGCTGGGGAATTGTATCACATAGACAGACAAAAAAGCAAGACCGACATTCTAATATACAAGTTGACAAGCCTATAATGACACAAACAGACAACAATAAAGAAGAGACGCAGGCAAACAGACATTTAAGTCAATGACCTACATAGACACGAAGACTGTACTCGATAAATAAAGTTCCTTGCAATATATAGAGTCCCAAACTAACCAACAGACAATGGATCCCAGATACAAACGTACAATATTGCTATACTACCATACAACCAAAACAAATCGACAAATAGTTTGAAAGTAATGATCTTAATCAGATAGGTAGTTAAAACATGGAATCAAGGTGCGAAACAAACCAAAAACGTACATTCACGCCCTCACGTTCACATACATCCAGACACAACCAAGCAACTACACAGTCATCCAACCATACAGGCACAAATCTGACTAACTATACAACCAGAAACCAAAGCAACCACACACTCTTGCAACTACGCAACCACGTGCCCATCTAACCATACAGCACAGTGTACAGGCAAATACTCACTTAAGCAAAGATCGACCACACACTCTAACCATACAACCAGCTACATACCCAAACACGCAACCACACAGTCATCCAGAATCCACATGTATCAACCCAACAGCCATGAGATCACAAATCCAGCCACAGTGCCACTTCCCCCTCCAAATACGCACCGACTCAACCAAACAGCCGATTAATCAACCAGACAACCACAAACCCACATCGACTCAACCACACAACCAGCCAGAATCCCGCCATCATCTCGCTCCATTGATCCCTGGTCAAACAGCCCTCCGTCAGCCTCCGAGGGTGGCCGGACTCCATCTCTCCACCTTCTCCCTCTCCCTTTCCTCCTCTCTCTCTCTTCTCTCCTCATTCTCTCCTCCCTCTCTCTCTCTCTCTCTCCTCCCTCTCTCTCTCTCCCTTCTCTCTTCCCTCCTCTTTCCCTTCCCCTCCTCCCTCTCTCTTCTCCCCCTCCCTCTCTCTTTCCTCCTCCCTCTCTCCCTACCCTCCCTCTCTCTTCCCCCACCCCTCGCCCTCGGCCGTTGTTGCCATAATGTCGATGTCATATTCGCCTTAATTGTGCTATTCGCCCCGCTTGCACTGACCGTAATCTGCCTCTCTCTCTCCCTCTCTCTGCCAGCCGTCTACGCGTCTGCCATGGCGATGGTCCAGGAGAAGGCGAGGCTGCCATGTGACGTGACCTCCTCCCTGGCCAATGACAGGGTTGTGCTCATCCTGTGGTACCGGGGAGCAGCTGGGACGCCCATCTACAG